CCCCCCCCCCCCCCCAAAAAAAAATGGCCACACTGCAGTACAGCATCGTAGGTGGCGTAAGATAACACACCCCCAAGCCTCTACGATTGTACTCGAGATCGAGGAGGACGCCAGATTCAAAGGCACGTTTTCGGAAAGCTCTCAGCGCGACGGTTCCAACGGCGGCATTCTCGGCGCTGTCCATACGATCGAGCTTCCGAATACGCTGCCGGAGGAGTGGTAGCACCTATAACCCAGCCTACGACACAACACTCGCTAACGACACCGACTATTGAATACCCACCAACACGGCATACCATACCATGTCATACCGTACCGTACCAAACCATACAATTTCCATACCTTTCCGGACTTCTCCTTCTTGCTCTTCTGCTTCTCGGAGCTGCGCTCTTTCTCTTTCTTCGTCATTGGCTCTCGAATGAGCAAGAAATCAGAATCAGGAGCCTGGTGTTTGACGAATCGCGCAAGAGGGGCCGCGGCATCATTGCATCGTTATTAAAAAAAGAAAAAGAGGTCACGTCTGACCTAACTCCTCGTGCCATCTACCCACACATTCACGGCGCCTGAATGGCGACCGACCGGCCAATGCGCGAAGGATTGTCCACCAAGCAACAAGAAAGATAGACGGAAGAGTGGGCGGATAAAAAAGCCAAGCCGCAAAAACATATTATTACGAACTAGGCGAAACACCGCTCCAACCCACGACCGCAGCACCCACTCAAATGTAGGGAGATTAACTATATTTCAGAATGTCGGTCCGCGATCTAATCTCATCTAATCTAACTAATCGAGATCAAGGGTCACAACCAATGCCAGCACGGTTTATCCTCACGATCCTCGAATTCTACATTTTCGGCACGTCCTCCCTCATGCTGCCTCTCTCGCCTCTCACGTAGTGCTCTACTGTATCTCGCACGTACTTCTTGCATCTCTCACATGGAAGTTCTCTACTGTATCTCTCACGTACTTATTGCATCTCTCACATAAAAGTGATGAACTGTATAGCTCAAATTGTAGTGCTCTACTGCTGTATTCTCACGTGGTGCTTGAAGATCGGGGCGCGGAAGAGGCCGTTGCAGATGGATGCCTGCTCAGACCCGGGTCTTATCTCCCCCAGAAATGGTGAGTCTTCCTGCGGACTAAGCTCTCTGCGCTCGACGCCGTCAACGTGAAACGGTTGCGGCACAGGAATGGTGTATTCGGACCACAGCACGAGACGGGCGGGGGGCTACATCTCATGAATGATGCGCTGTGCCCTGCCGCACGCAACACTGGTCGTTGTTGTCTGTTCATAACGAGGCCGGTCGGTGTTCCTGCTCCATGTCGCCCAAATCACCATCACGGGACGTTGACGTTAATCGTCAGAATATCAAGAATAGCTGGCAATTGTTATTGCATCTACCGCTTTACTGCTATGAGAGCGATGTGTGTCTACCGACGGTATACCGAGTACGATACACACCAAAAAATAACCCCTGCTGGAATATTTTGACCCTAAAAACGAATGTACACCCGGTGTGACATTGCTTGAGGGGTGTTATCTTACGTCGCAACAACTGATATGAGACAAACGTTCATGATTTGGAACACCTGAAAAAAGCTACCGCCGGGAGTGGTATTGTGTGGGGAGGGGGTGTTATCTTGTGTCAAACACGGTACAATGTACGCACCTCGTCTCGCCGAACCCCGCCGCACCCGAGTTTCGTCCCGCCTGCCACAACACAAACAATATGAACAACATAAACAATAAGCAATCACAGCGGAAGCGGTGAGGTAGATCACGGTTTTGCACGATGGACACGCCAGGCGAGAGGGAGAGGGTTGCTGCGTCCGTCGAGCAAATAAGCACGCCCGAAATCTAGAGAGAGCGCAAGAGACAAGAGAGAGAGAGAGAGAGAGAGAGAGGGAGAGAGAGGGAGAGACAGACAGACAGAGAGAGAGACAGAAAGAGACCTAGAGATAGAGAGACAGACAGACAGAGCGGGTCAGAAAATAAACGAAATTATCCCTCCACGCTAGAACATATTTTACCTTGTCAGCGTGAAATCGTTTGGCTAATCCTGGTATGTTCGCATGTCCGTTTATGGTTTATGAAAACAACAGCGGGTTCAAAATCGAGCCTCCTGACAAGTATGTCGACGTCCTATATTGCTGTTGCAGTTCAGGGAAGGGAAAATAGGAGTTCCTGTTGAGAACATTCTTGAGAACATTCGTGAGCACGCTCTCACTGAGGTAAACCAAGCTGCTCAAGGAGTCCCACTTGAAAAGTACGTCCTAACGGTTCGTTTCCCTAAATGTCCACACGTTCATGTCCAAACAGAGGCTCCGAATGTGGTAGGAGTCCACTGAACAAACATGGACCAGTTACCTATTAGATCTACCTCTGGCGACACAACCCGAAAAAATGCAGCTAGCTGTTTTTAAATAGGACGCAAAGACACACAAGTGGTCCAACAATGACAGTGAAAGATTGATCCTTGGAATCGAAATAGATCACCGACGAAATCTTGGTCAGAACAGAAGAATGCCAAATTGACATACCTCGATGCCCCCGATTGGCCGGCGGCTGCTGCTTCGCACAAAGGTTATGATGGTCGAAGCCATGCCGGTGGACCCTAAGAGGGGAGGTCTCTCCTCAACGTACTCGACAACCACGAAGGTGGAGTGGGACTCTAAGGGAAGCAGGTCCTGTGAGGAAACGCGGCGAAATAAAAGTGTAGGGGGCGATTGATGTCAAGACGCCCACAATCACAGCACGTCAAAAGCTCGGCACCAAACGGTCCTACCAACGAGAACATCGCAGCGAAAGCAAGCAGGGGCACGATGGGCAGCAAACAACAACAACAACAGCATGTGTTCGCCCTCACTCACAGCAGGGTCTTCAACACATCCCCTTCGACGACTTGCGGTATTCCCTCGAAAGGGTAGTGTTTCTGTGATGGTCATGCAAAATTTTCAAAAACAACAGCGGGTGCCGAAGGGCATCGAGGGAACCAGCAACGATTCGTCAATGCTGGAGTAATCCAGTTCTTGCCTTCTCTCTGTGCATGGGCATCGAAACCACCTCTCCGATACGAGCGCCGAAACCACCGCCGCCCTGCCCTCCCCCCTGCAATGCCTTGGGCTTTCTCGGAAGACGAATGATCGACCTATTCGAGGTTGAGGTTTGATGTCGCATGTGCATCGACATTTCGTCAGCTTTCACCGCGTACCGGAGGTGCGTATACTTTACTCATAGTTTACAGTGTGCCGCTGTCGGTCTCAGAAGGTTGATTCAAGCCACGACACGGGGCTTTAGCACGAAAGACAGCAAAGCAGCGACAGCAGCGACAGTAGCAGCAACAACAGCAGCACGGAGCCAATTGATGGCGGCAAAAACAAACACTGCAAACACGTCCTCTATGTGACTGCAAACATTTAACTTACATCTGATTGGGAAGGAGCGTGTGGATCTGCATCCTTGGTCTGTGAAGGTTGCGGATGTCATCCCAGCTCTTTGGGGCAGCGATCAAAACCTTTGTGTACGACACCACAAGTATGGGAGGGGAGAGAGAGACAATGAACAAAGACAGACAGACAGACAGACAGACAGAAAGAGAAAAAGAGACCGAGAGAAGGAGACAGAGAAAGAGACAGAGAGAGAGAAAGAGACAGAGAGAGAGAGAAAGAAAGAGGCAGAGAAAGATAGAATGAGAAAGTGAGGGAGAAAGAGAAGTGCAAGATAATCGGTCCTACTGATCAGCCACACCGAACCGAAAGATGTGACCGACTGCTCCTGATCCTGTAGAATATCCTTGGAATTTTCTCCCAGGATTGTGCTGTAACGGCGACAGGTACTTCAGCAATAGTCGTTACTCGATACTCGATACTCTATTCCTAGTCCTGAGAGTGAGATATCGATCGAGGGGCGAGAGACGCTCGTCCGTAGCGACTCTCGCCTGCAAGAATAGACCGCACAACATAATCTACACCATACAGCAGCCAACGGCACCCAACACACTCAGACACTCGCAGCACCAGGATTCACGTGCAACAAGGACATGACAGAGAGTCAAGCAACGATGTGCATGAATGACCCCTAGGCCCTACAACAGCACCAAACAGCAGTTCTTGGGGTACAGTAATTACCTTGTCTTCCGCCGGAGAGGCATGGTGTGGGGGCCGAATGATGACAGCCCTGAAAACAACATAAAAAAACGACACCAATGACAAAAACAGCGGCAAACGCCAGCCCAGTCGCGAAGGGCACGGAGGCAAACACGTAGAGAGGGGGCGCAGCGGAGGGGACAAGGAAAAGCCAGGGGGTGACGCAGGGCGAGATGCGGGGGGGGGATGACGCGACGAGCGTATGTTAATCACGGGGATGCAATAGAATGCTCCCACCGTCCTTGTGGTTCCTCATCAACAGCGCCACTTATTTGTTCGCGGTGAACGTGAGGTACACAATTTTCATGCAACCTCTGCATCGTAGTTCCTACATGTGTCTTACTATCCGCCTCTTTCGGCTTTGAGCGGCGACACCGCTGGCACGTCGACACGGAATGGAACGTACGGAGAGCGCGGCGCGACTACTAGCGACCAGCAGAACGAGTGCCGACTGACCAAGGTATAAACATCAGCAGCCCCAAAGAGAAAGAGGGGGAGGATCCACCTACTTCTTGACTTCGTCGTCTGGCCATGGACCGTGCATGCATGCATGGTCAGACAATCGTTCCTATACCAGTGGAAACAGGAAATAGAGCCAGGTCGTGTATTACCGCTTGCATCCGTCAAACACTGCAAGTATTAACGCGCATGCCTTCCGTGGACGCAGGCCAACAACAGCAACAATAAGGGAGGGATGCTTACGTACACGGAAAACAGAGAGGGAAATAACGAACTAAAACGCAAAACGAAAACAAAGCGCGCGTACAATACCCAGAGTAGTCAGCTGGCGAGATGTGAAACTACAATTAGCACGTACCTGATGTTGCTCTCGGCGCGGCTGGCCTTCCCGTCCCCCACCGTGTTGATCGTGTACCCGGTCTTCATCGCCGCCGACTGCAGACGCTTCTGCTTCTCTGTGGCCATCTGCCGCCTGTTCGTTCTCTCCAAAATGTGGCTCTGTTTCGCCGCCCAGGTAGCCGTAGGTGTTGTCGTGTACATGGCCGGGCGGGGTGAAGGACATGGGATGGATACACAGGAGTCGGAGCTTGGTATGGGGGGCAAAAAATAGTGGATGGCTTGCCAATTTGCGACAAACAGTGCTAGGTGGCCATCTATCGTGCCGGCGGTGGGATGTGACCATGTTTTGTCTTTGAGACGTGCCATGGCTTCGCATTGGATGGTTGGAAGACGTGGGTAGGGTAGAGCGGTCGACACGGATCGACTTGCGTTGGCGACACACACTGAGTGTGTGTGTGTGTGTCTCTCTCTCTCTCTCTCTCTCTCTCTCCGTACACTGTTCCCTTGCCCCGCAATCCCGCAAAAAACAACGACACACAAGTCAACAACGACAACAACGACACACATTATCACTGGCGCTCTGCACCAAAACCAAAGACAACAACGCACTCCTAACCCTCGCCATGCGATTGCCTAGAAAGACACAAAACAAAGATGACGACAACGACCCACATTCTCCTGTTGCGCTTCGGTCTGCAGTATCCTGAGGGATGGCCTCGGCGTGTGCAACGCCCCGAAAAGCATGTCTGGGTCATCGAGGTACACCGGGATGGTAGGTTTCCTAAGCTTCTGGGAGTCGTCCAGCAGCACCTGCGACTCCCAACCTCCCCCATCCACCTGTCTCCACCGGTTAACAACATTCCATCGAAAGTGGAAAAATCAACACCGTCCTGCTGTGACACTACATGGTCTTAGAACAACACCGGGAGTTGCTGAAGGTGGATACACCGCTGTGCGGAGAGGGATAAAAACAGTTTGAAACGTCATTGGATTACAAGCCCGAAGGGGTGAGATAAGTGTACGTGTGTCAAGCCCTCGCTGATGACAGGGTATCATGATCAAAATCTTCTGGTTTCCAGGCACCCCGTAGCATTGGCTGTACGTAAACAGAAACAGAAACGGCCAGCTAGGATACAACTATGGACTCGGCACTCTGCCAAACAATGCGATCGATGCTTGGCAAAGAACCCACAAACCAAGTTAGCGAGTTAATGGGACAAGAGCTTGGCAGACAAGAATAGAGTTTAACCGCTTTAGGGCTAGATCGCCTTGTGGGGACACTTTTTGTCCCCATTTTCTTCACCTGCTTTTTTCGCAAAGAATGGCATGATTGTCTCCTCCTTTGAACTACTTGACCAGGGGGGTGCCAGGGTACACGGGGACGACTCTAATTTAGAATGGTCTAATTTAGAACGAATGCTTTGTAGAGTGGAGGAGTATGAGGTTGAGTAACAGGATGAATCGCGGGGCGATTACGCCGCGGGTTCAACAGCGAAGTTGCGCCGCGTCTGTCTACCCTTGGGTGGAAAGCGCTTCTAGGGGCAAGCGCGGAAGAAGTACCCAGCCCACCGTTGATAGGAGGCACCGGGCAACCTAGGGCTTGGGTTAGAAGGTCTCGCTTTCCCTCGAGAGAAATATCTTGAAAACCTCCTTTTCGTGCCCCGTTTACCACGCTCCCGCCAGTTGCTGTCTTTAATCCCTATCAAATGTCCCCTCGATTACCGAGGGGACATTTGATAGGGATTATAGACGAGAGACGGCTCAAGTGGGAAGGGAACTTTGCACTTGCACCCAGGGATGGGAACTGACTGCACCATCCAATCAGCAGGCGTCGTTCGCTGTTTTTCTGACATTTCAGAAATTCCGCAAGAACGCTGAATTCTTTGTGCGTGGCAACAACAACAACAACGACAACAACAAAAGCAACTACGGCGCCAGATACAAAACCCTGATTAGCTACAGTATCGCACCTGTGGATTGAGCACAGAGGGGGGGTCGATCCAAGGGCTCCCCTCTGCCGCCGGAAACGCTGACGTCCTCATGCCCATGCCCATGCCCATGCCAGCCCTACGCCTCGCCACCTTAGAGGCAACAGCAACATTAACCTCCATCATTCACCACTAACAATCACATTTACACTTACAGTACACGTTCAGCAACCAAAAATCAACACTACGCATCATCGCATCGGAGAAAATAAATCACAACAGCAAGGACCAAACAACCCGGCCGGCCGTTGGCCGGGGGAGTGGGTGAAGATTTAGAGTCGCGCGAGGTTTTTGTTGTCCTTGTTGTCGTCGATGTTGGTGGTGGAGGGGACGCTCCTGTTGGCCCTAGTGTTTGTGTTTTCATGTGGCGAACCTACCGACAGCGTTCCTGCTGCACCTCAACATCAGACGTCAGTTGCGAGCCCAGCAGACGTGGGGTACGATAAACTACACTGCACAACCGATGAAAGGTTATACGAACCTCATTTAACCATCCACCGCCCTTGGCGCTCAACGCATCTGCGTTGGGCCAATCAAAGCTTCACACACACGACTCTTTTTGTATCTGCAACTACAACCGGAATCGGGTTCCAAGGGAGACCTGGGCCGCACTCAACGGAAAGTTTCAAGAACCCACCTTCTTGGACCCGGAAGCTGCAGCTCCAGCGGCGGAGGCAGCGACAGCGGTAGGCTTCTGCGCAAATCGATGGAAGAGTGGTGGACAGAACAGTAATCAACAGGAACGGTTGCAGTGTGTCAGCAGTCAGGAGGCCGCACAGCCATGTCAACAACACAACACTGTACTCGAATCAGCGGTACTACATAAATAAGGAGGAGTCGACACCACCGCACGGAGGGGTGCGGCGGCCGAGCCTGGAGGACATATGCACCATCGGGTGGGGCGAAATCAACAAAGCCACACAGAAAGCTACTACTACCAGAAGAAACAATAGGAAGCCGGGTGGAAGAGTGTCATGGGCCCAGATACAAAATCAACATGGTCGCACTTGCTTCACACTTCAAAGGTGTACGACAACACCGATGAGAAGAAATTCATGAACGACAAGCCCTCGACACAAATCATTGGGAAGGAAGAGAGGGAAGGCCTAATAACAGTCGCCTCGGACAAAAACTGTATTGCCCCTCAAGACATAACGCCTAGCATGTCGCGTCGAGGCGCAGGCACGCAACGGAATGCAACGTGCAACGGTCGTGCAGCGGCACCGAAATACCCCGCAATCTGCCGAGATGGGGGGGTGATCGACAAAACCTAACGACATCGGGCGGATGGGACGACTCGTTGTGCCGCATGACACGAGGTGTTCCGCAACCACACTCATCGGCCACGAAACGACTACGACCATCACCTTGCGAAGTTGGGTCCCAAGTCTCGGGAATAGAGACAAGGGGGCGGTTTAGAGACATGCCTCTGTTTAGCGACATGCCCCGTAGCGACCACAAAGTCACGTGGCACCACTGCACCCCGACATAACGGCAACAGTTCGCTAAACCGAGCCCACCACTCCTGTAAAACGGAAGGAAAGCCAATAATCAGCTGAAGCGGCCGGGCGTTTTAGCAAGCGAGCCTCGTCGACTGGCACCAACAAGAGATACAAACAAATCTACCTTGGCCTCAGCAGACGCAGTAGCAGCCCCGGCAGCAGCAGCGTTCGCTGACCCCCCCTTCGAGCCAGATATCCCCTCAGCGGAACCCCCCGCCCCTTCGTCCACAGTCCTATCCCGTCTTTTTCCTTCGTCTTTCCTTTTCGCCGTGGCCGCAGCCCCACCCCCTTCCTCCCTCTCCTCGTCACACCCGGGCGCGGACACATCCATGGGCGTCGGCACCGGTGACGACCTGGAACGGCCGCCGACCGGAGAGCGGCGACGTGATTCAGCATCGCTTCCGCCGGAGTCCCCAAGGCAGACGGCGTCCTCCCACGCGCCCTGCGACACGGGCATGAACTCCGCCTTGAGGCCTAGCAGTTGCACCGCTCCCGGGCCGTCCAGGCCATCGTCGCTTCCCCCCCTCCTCCCCTCGTCTTCTTTTCCGTCGCCGTCGCTGCTACTAACCCTTTCAGTCTCATTGCCTGAGCTCTCCTCGTCGTCATCACTGTCCGTCTCTCTTATTAGTCCCTTCCCCTTGGAGTCCCTCTGAGACTGCCGTGCGTCAACGCCACGAGCCGCCGCTCGGCGACGCGCGGGCCCTTTGCCCTTGTCAGCCGGCGAACCCCCCTCCTCCTCCTCGTCCACGTCCATGTCGTTTTCACCAGCCCTAACCTTCTCAGCGCTTGCACCCGAGGTGCCGCCATTGGCTTGAATACTGGCACCCGCAACGCCGCCGCTCGCGCTATAAGCGCCAACAACCCCTCCTCTGTTTTCCAGGGAGGCGTCACCGCTACCGCTAGCACCGTTGGCACGCCCGGTCGCAGCACCGAGGCGCGGCCGGGCAGCTCCGTTTCCCCCAACTCGATCACCGCTTTGGTCGGCCCCAGAAGCGGCGGTTGCGGCGATGAGTCTTGCGTCGGGTCTTGGTTCAGCTTCCGAGTCAGAAGAGGTCGACGACGATGACGAAGAGGATGATGCAAACACCCCCGATGGGGTCTCTGACCAGTACCTCTCTAGGTCCTCCTCCAGGGCCTCCTCTCTGCCGCCCCTCCCGCCCGCTCCTTCGAGGCCATCGGCACCGTCGTCCTTCTTCTTCGTGCCGCCGTTTTCTCCGTCGCTGGTGCCGCTGCCGCTGCCGCTGCCGCTGCCGCTGCCGCTACGGCCACCGTAGCTGCTGTACCCGCTACTGCTGCTGCTATCGCTGCTGCTGCTACCGCTGCAATCGCCCCCACCTTTACCACTGCTTCGAACAAAAGAAAACCTACCACCACCACCATCACCGTTTCCGTCGCCATCCGAAGAGCCTTGTCGTGGCACCAAACCCGAGGATGTCCCGCCGCTGGCGTTGCCGCTACCCCCACTAGGGCGACGGCGACGGCGGCGCGCGTTTTTGTTCTTGGCGGCTCGGGCCGCACGCGCGCGCGCCCGCTCTAGACGCGGGCCGCTCCCCGACGCATAGAACTCCAATGCCTGGTCTTTCGCCACCCTTTAGACAAACCACGTACAATAGGTAGCGTAGGCCCAAGACACCGAGGCAAACATACGGGGGGCAGGAGGGGCCCAGCGATGACATCACATGATATCCTCGAATGATCAACGGAGGAATGGAAAGAGTAGACCACACGAGGGAGCGTTGCCAGTGAAAGGCGGGGTCTCCCTCCTCATGGCTTCTATAGGTACAGTGTGGTACTAGAAAATATGGAGTGGGAACACTCATGCGCCTCCCTCCGGAGAGCCTCAGAAGCATCGCGCACGCCCAACACCGAACGCACCGGGCTCAAATCGTCCGAAGGAAAAGGGTCCAAAGTTGCGAAGAACCCCCCGACAACGGACCTCTGGCAAACACTCCCATGTCCGAGAATAACAGCAACAGTGTCAGTAACTCACTTGTAGGTTTCTTCGGTAACGAGGTCCTCGACTAGGTCGTAGTTGCCACTCTCCTCTTCCCCGGAATCGTGGAAGTCCACGGGGTCCACCCTTGCAGCAACAACAAAAACAAAGGCACAGCGGTCAAGCTTTTGAAGCATGCACAGCCCCCGCACGGCACGGTGTAACGGCGAGAGGGATAGCAACGATGGTGAGGCAGCCTCGGGGAGTTAGTTACTCTCATTCGCGCCGCTGTGTGTAGATTGTTGCTACTGTTACTAACACCGGAAGCTCGTCTGGAGCAGCATCGATAGTGTTCCGAGGCTCAAAGCCCAAGGGATGGGGCCAACATGAACGATATACAATCACGTCAAAATAGAATGTAGCACCCGAAGGTTTGCATACAAAACTACAGTCTTTGCTTCTCTTGTAGGCGACACGCACTGCATGCTACCAGCAGTTGTATAGCGCAGAGACGAGGCGTGCGATGTGCAAGCAACAACGACGCTGCCAACAACAGGTCAGACACCACCCGCTTGGTCAATACCGCCCGTACCCGTAGATGCTACAGTAAACACTTGCATCCCTTTCGGATGGTGTCTGAGTTGCGGATAGTCTTACTTGGGAACAACATCGGGGAAGAACTGCTCTCCCTCGAGACCATTAGGCAGCTCCGATCTCCCCCACAAGAGAATCCCGTCAACTCGTCCTGCTTGCCCTTGCCGGGCGGCCTTTCCAACCTCCTGGGCTGCCGAGGAAGGCCGGTCGCCCGCACCGGTACCACCCTGTCGTGATCACGGGTGGCCAGCAGCAAGGAGCAACAGGCGCCAGGTAGCGAGAGCGGCATCACCGATGTTGGCGTCAATTTTTGTTGATGTTCCCACCTCAGCAGCGTACACCGGCAGGCAGCAGCATCAACGTACGGTAGTGCCGGTGCCAAGCCTCAAAGGCAAAGGAAGGGGGCCAACATGGACGATTTACTACCACGTGCATAAAGTAGAGTGTAGCCCAAGGGTTAAATACTTCAACACTACGGTATTTCCTCTCCTGGCCTTTAGATTACCGTACGTGACACAAGAGCACACCCCGGTGATAATACATTGGAGTTAAAAAAACTTATCACCGGGTGTGCTTTCCTGGAATGGGTATGCTAGCTTGTGTCACCGGTGTGATCACGTGCACGTTAACAGAGCCCGTAATCAGGGGGGGGGGGGGGTACTCAT